TTTACATTACATCTGCATCTTTTTGGCTTTTGTTCTCATTCATCTTATTTCCAAATATACTGTAAATGTTATAATATCTTGTTATTGCTTTTGTTTTAAACATCAATCATATATTAAAGAGAGAAAAAATTAGACAAAATATATATTACATTTAGTCACAGATTCACCATTTTGGTCCTCTTAATTTTTTTGGAGGGGAGGGTAGATTCAGAATTTCCTCTGATTTTATTCTCCTTCCTGAAGAATTTCCTTTAATATACCTTACTGGGCCTGTTTGCTAGCAGTGAATTCTCTCACATTTTGTTTGAAAAGTTTCTATTACATTTTCACTTTTGAAAGTTATTTTGTTTGATGTGGAATGTGGTTGGTATATAGCTTTCTGGCAGCAGCGCTGTGGGGGCCGGGGTGGCTGAAGCCACGCGACAGCAGTGGAGGCAGTCTCAGCCCGGCAGTTTGAGGAGCTGCTGTGCCTCAGAGCCCAGTGCCCCCTGTGGACTATTTTTGGACACTGTGGGCTCCACAATGTGATCAAATGAACAATGTGATGGCAGACTTAGTCTAATAACATCCCCAAGTTTCATTTGGGATGTTGTTAGCTGAAGCTCTTCCTGAAGTATCTAAAAAATATGAACTTAGTTCTGTTCCCACCTGTTTTTCAAGAATGCTCAAAAATTTACCAATTAGATGGTACACATGCCCCAGAGTTAACCAAAAAAGATTAGCACCATGCATCCGTGGGCTCCCTCCAACCCAGTAGTAATGAGCATCCAAAGAAGACCTCCACCTCCACCTAGAGAAGTTAACTCGTGGTGCCCCCAGCATGATGTTTATGAATGGGACCCAGGGGAGCTGCACTGTGGTTTCCACAAGCAGACAGTGGAAATTCTCAGCAAACATTATATTTAATTTAGCAGTTTTGATATCTTCTCAGATGAAAAAGTTCAAGGCCTCAAAATCTATTTCAATTGGCCCACCTCTACCCAGCTCTATGTTTCTGGCAAGTTCATGGGGGGAACTTGACCTAGTTCAGGAGCTGGAAGCATCTGAAGGACTAGATACAATTTCCCCCAAAGTTCCAAAGTAGAGAAAAGGCTCAAAGTACTGACACATAAAGCTTCTGTGATGCTCTGTGAGAGGAAACAAACAGGAAGCTAAATGTGGATTCAGAAAATTCTAGAAATACTACATGGTACTGGTGTTGAAAATGAAACAGTTGATATATTGGAGGATGAAGACCTTCTGCAAGGATTGAAAATGTACTCCAGTTGGCCAGCGTACGTGAAAGGGGAGCTTGCTGAAGGGCTGGGCCTTGTCAAGGAACTGAAAGAAAATGGTGAATGGCTGCTCCCACTGAAAGGAGAATATTAATAAATGTTAAGTGTGGTACCCAACGAGTGCAGGATAGAGCTACAGTGGAGCAGCTTATGAGTCAGTCCTCAGACGTGAACGAGGAGGATGCCTTATTTCCCAGCCTAACTCTATATACTCCACAAGGTTGTGTTAAATAAATGTATGTTATTTTTCCCCACAAAAAATAGAATGCAATAAACATCTTCAAATTTAACTTCTTAAAAAGAGAATTTGCTTGTTATAGAATAAGTTACATTTTCTTTTATCTTTCAGCACTTTGAAGATATCACTGTTCTTTGTATTCTCCTTGGGGTCCATTCAATTATTGGATCTATGTGTTTGTTTTTATCAAATTTGGGGAAAATTTTGTCATTTTTTTAAATGCTTTTTTTCTTTTTCCTTCTGTCTCTGTCTTTGTTGGGACTACAGGTACATATATTTTAGACTAGTTGATATTGTCCCATAAGTGACTGAGGCTGTTTTGTTTTGTTTCATTTTATTGTTTTTTGTTTAATATTTTTTCTCTGTGTCCTTCTACTTTGATTGATTCTAATGCTGTCTTCACATTTATATACGTTTTCTTCAGTGCCTATTCTTCTGTTAACCCACAGTATATTTATCATTTTAAATATTGCATTTAATTGTTGCAATTTTCATTTAGGCCTTTAAAAATCTTCTACTTCTCTTCATGTTGATGCTTATCTTTGAATATATGAAGACTGTTTCTCATCATTGTTTCAATGACCATGTCTGATAATTCCATCTGTTGTAACCCAGGAGATCGACCAAACTCAGACGCCGAGATGGGGTTTAATAAAAGGAGTTTATTGAGCTAAGTCCGCAGGCACCTGCAGTATGTCCCACACAGGAGTAACTGCAGCCCTGGAGAGCTAAAATGGCTCCTTTTTATAGGATTTTGTAAGGGGGTTGCTACGTGTAAGCAAGCATGTTACAGAAGCAGAATTTAGCAGTTAGTTAATTACCTGTTACTCAGTTTCCCAGACATCTCAAAGGTCAAGATGTTTTCAATAGATTATCGCTGGTGCCGCCCAGGATTACTCAAGGGTTAGTTATTACCCCAGGGTTAGCGATTACTTAGGGATTAGTTAGTGAAGAATGTTCTTCAGTAAAAGAGTAAACTGACAACCCCTTTGGTTGTCGTGAAGGCCTCTGGGAGTTTAGGTCAATGGCACTGAGTTATAACACATCATTTCTGTCATTCTGAGCCTTTTTCTGTTGACTGATCTTTCTCTTTGTATTAGTTTTTCAGGGTTTCCATAACAATATCCCACAGACTGAGGGATTAAATAGTAGAAATTAATCTTCTCATAGTTCTGGAGGCTGGGAATCTAAGATCAAAATGTCATCAGAGTTTATTTCCTCTGAGGCGTCCCTTCTTGGCTTACAGATGATCACCCTCTTATTGCCTCTTCACGTGGACTTTTTTTCTGTGTGTGTGCCTCTCTCTTGTCTCTTGGGGTGTGTGTGTGTGTGTGTGTGTGTGTGTGTGTGTGTATTTTTTCCTCTTCTTATAAAGACACTAGTCAGATTAGAATAGGGTCCACTCTAACATCCTCATTTTAACTTGATCATATGTATAAAGGTCCTGTCTCCAAATATAGCTATATTCTGAGGTACTGGGGGTTAGAGATTTAACGTATGAATTGGGATGGGACACAATACAGCCCCTAACACTCCTAGTCATAGTTCATAATTTCTTCTCTGTACATTTCTGGTAATTTTTGATTGAACACTCTATACTATAAAGTTTAGATGTAACATGCTAAATTTTGATCTATTCTTTTCAATATTGTTGGGTTTGTTTCTGGCATGTTTTGTTACTTAGGTTTAGTTTGAGTTTTTCAAGGCTTGCTTTTAAGTTTTGTTAGTATTGCTCTAGAGCAGCCTGCAATCTAAGGCTGATTTTACCAGCATCCTGTCTACCTTTTGCAAATATAGTCGTACCTTTCTAGAATACAACCTATTGCCCAGGTATTATGTATAAATTGTTCCATTCTGGCTTGTGGGAATATAAACTATTTCAAGCTTGTGTAAACTCTGGATTGTGTTTGACATACTACTCCCTGATAGATCTTTATTGAGATGCATGTCATTTTTTTTTCTCACACATCAGCAAATCAGTACTCAGCCCAAGGCTTAAGGATATACCTCTATAGATCTCCAGAGCTTCTTTCTGCAGATATCTTTTGCCTTCCATATTCTTCTCTAAATTCTATCTACTTTGGCCTTCACAAATGTTATTCCTTGTCTCCTGAACTCATTGAGACCACTAATCAGTGCTGCAGCCAGCAGCTTGCCTCCAGGCAATAGGCAGAGAGACAGTTGCTGACTTTCCTTGTTATTTTTCCCTTTTTTAGGGGTTACTGTTCTCTTCTGCCTGTTGTGTATATCTGAAAATACTTGTTTTACATATCATTTTTTCTAGGTATTTAATGCCAGAGGGTAAATCTAGTTGCCATTACTCAATCATGACTGCAAGTAAAAGTTTTATTTTCATAGTTCTTTGATTTATTTTTCAAGATGAAAAGTTTTAATAGCCATGACCGGTGTGGCTCAGCAGTTAGAGCATCAGCATACAGACCAGAGAGTCCTGGGTTTGGTTCCCGATAAGGGCACATACCTTGGTTGCAGTTTGTCCCTGGCCCCAATTGGGGTTGTGTGGGTGGCAACCACTTGATATGTCTCTCACATCGATGTCTCTCTCTCTTCCCCACTCTCTCCCTCCTGCTCTATCTGAAGATGAATGCAAAAATGTCCTTGGGTGAGGATTAAAGAAAAAAAAGTTTTAGTAAAACTATTTTTCAGTATATGTTACACACCTTTATACCCATTTAAATACATTCACTGTCTTTTTTTTTCCCAGCACCAATTATTTTCAGACAATGAGGACATATGGCATTTGTCTAAGATATATGAGTTGTTAATCATATTCTAGAAAGAATTCCAGCAAGTCAACAAATAGTATTGAGGAAGATTATTAAGAAATATTTGTCATTTTCTGGGACTTATTTAGTCTGTTCGTTAGGAATATGTATAATTTATCTATTAAAATTTTATATTAGCGAATAAGAAAACCTTCTTGGCATTTACTACAATTATTTCAGTGCATAAATGAAAAAGAAAATGTATCCAGATTGATATGCTTTTTATTTCGATGTGGATATAAATTAGTCACTTAAAATTATCCTTTCAAATAGGTAATGACTTCTCTTTTTTTTCTCCTATTCATCACTGCCCATGCAAATTCATGGACTCTTTAGGGAAACTGTATATAAAACTGATCTAGTGTGGATGAACATCTTTCAACTGAGGCTCTTGGTTTCGTTTCTGTCCTCACCAGTGACAAGTAGTGAAAAGGCCAACTGCTCACTCTCGGTTCGATAGTAAGGAAATATGTGCTCATAGGTACATTCTCTGAATTATCCTGAACTCTAGTATGAAAAGCATTAGGTAAATAAAATAGCATCTGGTTACTCATTTACATTTGGAAATAACTGGACAATTGTAGTAGGCCACGCAGCAAGAAATTAACATTGTTAATATCTTGTACATGCTCACAAAGCATACTTCTGGTCACATTCTGCGACATTTTCCAACCAATTTTCTATTATTTTCCTCTCCCTCCCCAGGAAAACAGTTGGTGTGTTTTGCTGTGGACCCAGTTCAATTTCTAAGACTCTTCATAAACTGAGTAACCAAAACAACTCATATGGGACAAGATTTGAATACAATAAAGAATCTTTCAGCTGAAAACTGCGATAGACCAGGATTCTAAAGAAGGAAGGAGTGCAATTTCTAACACTTTGAAATTCAAACACCTCTGTCATGCCAAAGAGTATCAGGGCTTTCTTATTTATGATTGTTTTAAATGGAAATGCAGAGAATGAGGCATGGCGACAGGTCACAGCACATGTTTAATCTGGAAACCAAAGAGGCCCTAAAGAATATTTGATGTGATGATTCACTTTTCAATGCTAGAATTAAAACTATTAGATCCGCACTGTTGATTTTTATGGCAGATTCAAGAACTCCCTAGTGAGGAGCTACACATGCTCATTGTGAGGCTGATAGCCTTGGTCCTCTTTAAATTGTTTTTGGGTGAGCAAATGCAAGATTGAACAAAATTAAAAATTCATTGAAACACAGATTACATATTCTACATAAGAATAACAGTAGTTTTGATTGAGAAAAGCCCCAGGCAAATATATTTGATGTTTGAAGATACAGCACAAGATTCTCTATTGATACGGGTACTTTGTGTCAGTATCTGATCTTCCTCACTACTGATGCTAATACCTCCCCTTGATGTCTTTAGACTTTATGCTGAATGAATCTGTTATAGATGTTGATATAGTATCTATTTTTATATATTTCTTTCTTTTTTCTCTCTCTAGGAAAACCTTCCCTCCCTTGCCATGCATTAGGCACAATTATTTAATCAGTTGTTTTTACCCTCAATTTATTTCATTAATTACTATTTCATAGTAACAAGGAGATGTTATTACTATAAATTATAAAGGGATATATGGACTAATAGGTTGTTTTTCTTTTCAGCTTTGTGATCTCTTATTTTTATTTACCTTTTTCCCCAACATAGTTTGTCTTATTTTTTAGCTTCTTAAGGTACTTTGTTTAATTTGCACTTTGAGACCAAAGGGCATCCTGTCTGTCAGTGGTCACTGAGATAAACATAAGATCTCTCTTTTGCCACACATTGGTTATGTTGGAGACATTGAAAGTGTCTAACAGGAAACCTATAATTATTTCCTACACAGGATAAAATACTTCATTTGTTATTCAAATTTAAGTTCAGAATCAAGCATATTAGTGCTACACCATCTGTTATTCTGGATCTTAAAAGGGAATTATTGAGTTTAAAGTTATTGTTGGTATTACTCTGTGTAATCCTATCAGTTCCTGTTCCCTGGCCATTATATTCTTGGCTCACAGAAAAAATTCACTTTAATACCTTAAGAATTAAAACATTTTTACAATTTAGTGATGTTATTTTGTAGATATCTATCAGTTGCTATAAAATATAGCACATTGCTGAAATCAACAGCATAACTTGTCTTGCCTTTGTTAAAATTTTGCATGATACAATATATGTTGATAGATGCTACTGTGATTTTTTTTTTGCTTTGATTCACCAATAGCAATCAAGCATGTTAAACCACACAGCATTGAATGCCCATAAACATATTACTTACAGATATTTCTTTCTCTCTTTGGAATCCTTTCTTCTCCCTTCTGTGGAAGGTGAGTCAGAAAAAGACATGGGAAATGTGCAATGTTCCTGCAGATTTAGCTCTAAAGACCTATTTAATGAATAGCACATCTTGGCAACACTTTCTAAATTAAAAATAATTTTCATAAAAACACATAACAGAAAGAAATAGTAAAAAATTTAGTACAGGCTTGATGTGCAGTACTGACTCTTTACTGATCATAATTTAAGTGATTATTTTAATACACCTAATTTCAGTAAAACAGGTGGAAGATTTTTCAAAAGAAGAGTAATCTTTCCAAATAAGTAGGTCTGCTCTTCCAGATGAGCCTTTTTACCTATTTTAAATTCCAGTTAATGTCCAAATGTTGTGTTAGCATAGGAGATTTTCGCTTCTATAGGAAGGAATTAAACCAGGGCTTCATCATGCCTGTATGAGAGCTATGTTTTGTTCTGAGGGATTCTTTCTCTCTAACCAACTCTTGCCACACAGGTCTTAAGACAGTAATTTTAGTGTCAATAAATGTTAAAATTGAAATGGTATCTTTGAAATCTCTATATGTTTATTTTACCTTCTCAATAAATAAAGCAAGCAGAGTTTCTTCACCAAATAATGCCAGTTGCAGAATGTCATCGATTCCAGGGCAGAGAGCACCTTGGGGGTCGGCGGTCTGGGGCATCAGTGTCAAGGGCTGACGGTGCGACTGGGACACGTGGCTCCTCAGGAGGGTTTCTCACTTGGTCTAGGTCAGCAGTCAATCACTCTTTTTTAGGTAACGTATCTTTTTGAGGACATGGTTAAAATGAAATATTATGATGTATGTGCAAAATTTACAATCTTGGGGGCCCACAATCTCCAAAAGCCAGGATCCCTGTTTAAGAAACTCTGGACAAAATTATTATCATTATAGGTTTTTTTTAAAAACTCCATCTTGCTTTTCTTTGATTTTTTTTAGAAGAAACTATTCATTTTTATATATTATACTAAATAATTCACTCTGTGGACAAAGGGAAGGCAATTTCTTTGTATCCCCCAAAACAATGAATCCAATAAAATCTTCCATCAGTTTTTAATCTTCTCGGGTCTCCTGATTTATGCAAGGTAAGGCTGTGATTTTACATAACAATAATAATAATAATTCATATTCACACCCCACACACATACATTGGGGCCTTAGTCTTTTTTTTTTATTTATTTCATGTTAAAAATGAAATGATTGATAGCTTTTTCATATCGTGAGTTTAAATGCCATTTAGGATTGTGATAATACAGGTTCTTAAAATAAAGAAATAAAAGCAATGTAGACAAAGCATAGTCTGAATTGATTTATTCCATATACCAATGATGTATAATACCCCCCTTCCCAATCAGCATGTACTTGGAACATTCACGAGGGGTAATTGATTTAACTTATAAGGTATTGTTAAAAAGGCTTGCTAGACACAAATGGGCCATTGTCATTGATAAATAATGCTGGTGCTAAAGGATGTTCATTACATTAAAAAGAAACAAATTTAGGTAAAAGCATTATTTTCCTTAAAGATGGTCAACTCAGCTGAACAGTGATTTTTCTAAACACACCAAAAAAACACATTTTCAATTGCTACTCATGACAAACAATTCCCTTTTCTTATGCTATCAGAACACTTTTCTATCTATTTATATTATAGAAACATAAAATGCTGAAGTTAGGGGTACTGTTATCTTTTTATTTATTTCCTTTATTGATTTTAGAGAGAGAGGAAGGGAGGAGAGAGAAATAGAAACATCGATGAGAGAGAACATCGATTGGCCACCTCCTGCATGCCCCCTGCTGAGGATTTGGCCCACAACTCGGGCATGTGCCCTGACTGGGAATTGAACTGGTGACCTCTTGGTGCATGGGTCGACACTCAAGGGGTACTGTTATTTTGCAGTTGAGGAAACTAAGGCCCAAAGGAAGATGGTAACTTGCTTCAAGTCATACACTGTCAGAGTTGAAACTGGAGCTCAGCTTTTCTAATCTCTGTTACTGAAAGTCTCTTTCCACTTCCTCATGAAATGCACATCTAGTAAGACACATCTAGTACTATTAGTTTGAATCTCCCTGTAAAATCTAGTGCTAGGTGGAAAAAAAATCCAGATTCATAGCAGAAAATCACACTCTTCCATATATATCTTCTGATTCTAAATTTATTAGTCATATATTTTGCCTACTAAAATCTATTTTCCTTAATCAGGTTTAAAACATGACAATGGTGCTAAAAATATTTTGTTCTACAGAACTTTATATTAGAAATGTGTAATAGTATATAGTTTCTAGGAAATGCTAATATTGTCATTTAAAATGTTTATTCATAGACAAAAGTCACGGCTTTACCAGCATTCTGACCACCCAGGGAACTGTTATTAAAACAGATGGCCAGCTTGTTCTCTATTCCCATGACCATACCATGCTTCTTATTCAGGAGAAAAAGTCAGCTTTTTGTAACCAGTGAGACAGGAAATAAAGGATACCCAGCATAATGAGATTTGTATTTACTTCAACCACCACACACAATGAGAACACACTGTTTCCTTCTGTCTAAATCGCCCCTCCATTACCCAACTTCTTTATTCCATTCTGCAGTATTCTCAAAGGACAGAGTTGCAATGCTAGCTGGATGAAGTTTTCCAAAGAGAGGACTTCTGATCCTTAGCAAAGAAGGGCCCATTAAGAAGGAAGGGGAAAAAGACCATGTGAATGAATGATTTGAAATGAGCAGAGTTAAGTAATGTTGCTTTAGAATAGAGACCAGTAATTTTTTAAACATGAATATAGAGATTTTAATTTTTGCTTATATAAAATCTTATATTTTTGTTTATAAAATCTACAACTAGATTTCTTCTTTTATTTTGCATTGTAGCAAAATCACTGGTAATCTCATTGCAGAGAGTTAAACTACAATTTAAGAGTTGGTAAGGGCAAGAAATGCCTCATGAGAGCAAAACTAGGAGAAAAAAAAAAGGGAGACAAAGAAAGAAAGATTATTTAGTACTTCAGGACAGGATACTGCTTTCCTTTTCATACGTTAATAGATATTCAAATGTGTGGCAAAACTGTTACTCTGATTTGGGGAAATGGAAAACAATGTGGTGTTTGGTTTGTTTTTGGAGAGCCTTTCACGTTTTCTTTGCCACTAGAATTACTGCAGAAGCTGTGATCAGAATTACAATCTTCTTTGAGAATTAGAGCTTTGATGAGCAGCTGGTTGACCTAGAGACAACCCGACCTTTAGATGAGAACCAGCACTACATAAATGCTCTAATATATGTAGCAATAAAGAAGGGGAGGCTGTCATGCATTGATTCGGCTGCACACACCACACATTAACATTCTGTCATTGCAAGGTCATATTTTTCAGCTCTTATCCTTCTACCCAGGGAATGGAACCTTCTTAACAATGCAGACACTGAGAAACAGATATTCTCTCTGTTGTATCATAACAGTGTATCTGTTCCCCTGTATCAGCACATTCATTTGAGCCTAGTTATCAATTTAAGATGGCTGTATATTTTATTTTAGTGGTGAGAAATCTCTACAATGCATCAAATGGGAGCCTTGCTTGCCTGCTAAAAAATATATGGCAGCCAACACATTGGCTAGGGAGACAGCAGTTAAATCTTTCTAGGTTTCGTCTCCAGCTGAGCCCTAAAGGGATGTAAAATACCTTGCCGCACACATGTTGGAACGTGACCTGGGTTGCAGGCCCTGCTCTGTGATTAGACGTGCTGCATGGTTTATTCTCCAGACTCCCTGGGACTCTCCAGTTCAGGAAAATACCAGCCCTTGAGTCAGTGTGACATCTTTCACCACATAACTGGATGCCTACTAGATGTAATGACTTGTTTATTTAAAGGTGGCAATAATCTGCTTACCAAACGGCCATAGCGGGGAAACAAATGGTCTTTATTTTCTTCTCTGTTCAATAAAACTTGATTAAAATTCAGAATTGGGAAAAGTAGAAATCACTTGGAAAAGTGGGAAAAATTGGTGGCAGTTGTGGCTGCGTCATCATTTCATCCAACTGCCTCCAGCGTGTGCAGGGAACAGGATCCTGGGTTAGAAGTCAGGAGACTGCAGCCTTTACCCCTGAAAGGCGTTAGACCACATGCGTAAACATGGGAGTGCCAGCGACCTCTGTCTGACTTACATGGATGTAGTGGGGCAATAATGTGGGCAGAGAGTGCTGGAGAAAGAACCATTTCCGGGGCAAATCTTCTGAAGTATTTTTGTTTTTGTTTTGAAAACACAATAAAAAAAAAAATCCCGAAAAAGTC